GCGTTGTGCATGGGGGAGATAGATGAACGAAACAAAACAGCATCCAGATCATATATATCCCGCCACAATGTGGAATTATAATGTACCAAGATTATCATCACTAGACTATTTGAAAAAGGCATGGATTATGACTCCTGAGAAGATGCTCGGTGACTCAGGGTCATCAATCATGTCAGTCATGACTCACACTGGAGGCGAGGCTGAGCGTATCTTTATAGGCCGATCGCATATGCATGTAGCGAGGCGACCCACATTTCGCCATTGGTACAACTTCCGCGACTCTCGTGCTCATTTTCTCTTTGTTGGTCCTTTTTCCAACAACATCCATCCATCCATCTCCAAAGGGAAAGGCTCCAATCTGCCGTCGTCGTTTTCTTACTGTCTGATTCGGCCAGACGCATGTGCCGTTGGTGAAAATATAATCAAAATGGCGTCCATTTTGAGAGAAGCGTAAAGGGTGATAAGATACCTCTTGAGCTCAGTCCATATCTTGTAAAAGAGAGAGATTCCTGTAAACTCCATCTTTTCGCAGTATCCATTTCATTTTTATTTTCCTCTCCGTTTTTTTAGCCATCCATAAACCATGGACCGTGCCCTTACCCTCAACCTCAAGCCCACCTCTGGCCTGGAGTCCCTCCCTGACGATCTCCTGCTCGACATCACCGAGAAGTTCACGACGGCTCGAGATCTCGCCAGCTTCGGTTCAACTTCCCGTCACCTCCATTCCTTCACGCAGGAGGCCGGGTGGAAGACCTTCTGCCGTTCCTCCTTTTCTCCCGTCTTCGACATCGCCGCCAGCAGGATATCCCGGCAGCGCTGGGATGAGGTGGCAAATCGGCTCACGTACCTGGACCGCTGCTGGGAACGGCGCGCATTCTCCATCTACAAATACCATGAAATAAAGACGAGCGGCCGCGGGAGATCTCGCCGCGGCTTCTCCGGCGTGCAGAGCGTTTCTTTCCACCCGGTCCTGGATGCCAGGGTGCTGGCAAACGCCTCCTCCAAGGATGAACAGGAACTGGCCGTCTGGGGCGTCGGGGAGGACCTCATCACTAAGCTCAAGCCCCTGTATTCGGGAGACGAGGAGAGCTGGTTCAGACTGGAGGGCCGCGAGAGCGGCTACAGTGGAGGCTTCGGCGATGTGACTGCCGTTACTGCCATCGATCGATCGCAGTCCCCAGAGGTTGTCGTTGGCAGGGCCAACGGGGACTTGAAGGTCATCGCGGCTGCCGGCGAGGAATTTGGGGCCGTCTCACAATCTCTGACGCCGTACTCTGGAGCCGTGGATCCCAAGACGGATGCCTCGTCCCGTCGAAGGTCACCAGCTCGCGTCGCCATCTCCTGGACGGACTGGCAGCCGCAGACGAACTTCCTGGCAAGCTGCCGGCACTCGAGTATAACTCTTCATGACTTGTCCAACAAGGAGGATGAGGAGCTGGACCTCATGTGTCATTATGACCTTTCCCAGGATTGTCCCAGCGACGAGATGCCCTTCGTGCGCAGTGCCAAGTTCCTCGGGAAGGATATCATTGCATGCGGGTTGGGCGGAACCCGTCAACCCCTCAGATGGGGCCGCATCACACCCACTGGTCTTGAATTCTTTGATGCAGTGCAGGACCTTTCGGACTATTCTCATCTCACCGATATAGCCCGAAGCGGGATGCCGGAGAAGACGACTGTGCGAGCTATAGAGCCGATCAACTACGGGCACAGCGAGAGCCTCCTGCTCAGCGCTTGGGAGGATGGGACATACAGACTCAACGATATCAGGACCTCGTCCCCCTACGATGCCATGTACCGTGATCGATGGAGCGTCTACGAGCCCGGCAGCTCCCTCCTCGTCTACGGGACCCAGCGCTTCATCGCGGGGAGCAACATGTCCGAGTCGCTCGTCTTCTTCGACTTCCGAAACCCGAAGCCATACAACCACACCAGTGCTCTCCCCTGCTCAACCGACGCCCCTCGCCCAAGCCCCCCGGGACGCTCCAACGAGCCGGCTGCCTCTGCTACAGTGCACGACAAGTGCTGCCACCTGCTCGGCCAGTCGTGCTCCTGGCACTCAAAGGCCGCACAGGATTACTGGCGCCCAGACGCCATACTTCACTTCGGCCAGTCCCGCTACGACCGCGTCCACGCACTCGCCAAGGCGTCGAACCTCTCCGACTCCTTCTACTGCGGCGTGGACGGCTACGTCCTCGAGGTCAACCTGAAACTGGCCGAGGACATGGAGCCCGGCGGCGGCAGCAGCAAGCCCTCCGCGCCCGCGGGCTGGCAGTCCTACAGGCCCCGCGACAAGATCTCCCTCATGGAGACCGGCGTCGGCCGCATGAGGGGCCGCGACTGGGAGCAGCTCGACCTGGAGCTCCCCCAGCTGTGGCACCAGAGGAAGCCAGGGCACGGGAAAGGGGCTCACAGTCCCAAGCCGGTCAAGGGCTCTCGTCTGGACTCCATCTACTACGATCCCTCCAACCGGTCACAGTGAAGAAGAAAATTTGCACGTTCATTAGATCTCCTTGTTTATTTTATCTCTCTTGTCTTCTTTACGTTTGTATTTCAAGGAAGTAAACGCGCTCTCATCAGTACATGTTACATAGAAAAAGAAACAACCAAAAAGGGGGCTTCGTAGCCTCTAGCGGGGAGAAAGCCAAAGCGGTCTAGAGCTTGGCCTCGGGTGTGAATAGACTCAATCTTTCCTTGAGGGCCGTCTCGGCCTCCTTCTCAATCCGCTTCACCAATGCGTCGCAAGTCGGAATATCGTGGATCAGGCCGATGACCTGGCCAGTTGTCCAGACCTATCAAGTGTCAGTTAATGCTCACAGCAGTAATAAATCCCCCCTATTCCTCCTTGATAGAGAGCAGGGAAGGGTTAGATATCGTAGGGATTAGAACACTTACACCAAACTCGGGGTCCCCATTCTCAAAAACCTGCTTCCCGCGCTTCCCGCTAACCAGCGCCGCCACCTCCTGAAACTCCCCCGTCGGGCTCGTCCGCTCAATCTCGAGCGCCTCCTGCGTCACCTTGTTCTTGTACAGCCTCGTCGTGTTCCTCCACCGCCTCAGCAGCAGCGTCGTGTCCGTCTCCTGCGCGCGCACAATCTCCTCCTTGACGTTGCGGTGGATGGGCGCCTCCTCCGTGGCCATGAACCGCGTCCCCATGTTGATCCCGCTCGCGCCCAGGCACAGCGCCGCCGCGAGCCCCCACCCGTCCGCGAAGCCGCCGCTCGCGATGAAGGGCACCGTGAGGGACTGGCGCGCCCGGCTGAGCAGGATGAAGTTGGTGATGTCGCTCTCGCCCACGTGGCCCGCGCACTCGAAGCCGTCGATGCTCAGGAAGTCGACCCCCAGCTTCTGCGCGCTCTGCGCGTGCCGGATGCTCGTGCACTTGTGCAGGATGGTGATGCCCGCCTTCTTGAGCTGCTTGATGACGGGGCCGGGGGAGTTGCCCGCCGTCTCGACGATCTTGACGTCCTCGTCGATGATGGCCTGCGCGTAGGCCGGGTAGTCGGGCGGGACGAGGGAGGGGAGGAGCGTCATGTTGACGCCGAAGGGGTTCTTGGTCAGGGTCCTGCAGCGGCGGATCTCGGCGCGGAGGGCGTCCGGGGACGGGAAGATGAGGGCGGTGATGATGCCCAGGCCGCCGGCGTTGGAGACGGCGGAGGCGAGGTCGGCGGTGCCGACGTGCATCATGCCGCCCTGGACGATGGGCACTGGATGGGTTTTTCGTTAGCTTTCAAGGGGCATTCAATCAGCCTGGAATCGCCAGGGAGGGCGTACCTCGAATGCCGAGTCGGCGCGTCAGCTCAGTGGTGAAAGGCATGGCTGGGGGATGTGAGTTGTCCGCGTCTAATGGGGTCTAGTCTTGAGCAATAAACGAATTCTCACGTCTATGTCTACAGAAGCGGTGGGAGAACGAAGGAAGGGAGAGATCCGTCGCTGCGCATGCAATGTCTGATAACGGCGTTCTGGATGACCAGCATCGTCACCCGCCCCCCTCTGGCAGCTCCACACATGCCTCGGCATCTTCTCCAGCCGAATGTACCTAATGAACGGGCCACTATGGGGCCACTACAGGCGGCCGAGTCCAAGCCCACGGCGCATTCCCCCACAAGTCAGCATCATCCCCCAGGCAGGTACAGCGGATGTGCTAGGCACCACAGCGCTACTCATGTACTCAGCGCCCGCAGTCCCCCGCAATTCGGACTTCAAGCCCGCGGAAGCCCACTTCATTAACGAGGCCCCGTAAGTTGTTCCCCGTCACATGTGGAAAGATCCCACCTGTTCGTGACAAAGCTCTAACTTCGATGGAAATGCCGACACTTGTGATACTATGTGCAAGCGTCCAACAAGCTCGACAACTGTACCACACTGCAATAAGAACAACCCCATCTCTGGCCATCTTCGGCCTGTACCTTTTGAGCCCCCCCTGTAATCTTACCGCGGGTCTTTCCCAGCCCCGGCCAAACCCCATCTCAACACGAACTCCGAACCGAGGTCAATAACCGGAAAGCAAACACAATATGAACCTAGCTCACTTTCATGAATCAAAGTGATGAGTGTACAGACTGCCGCTGGTAGTATCTTCAATTACTCTAAGCTTTCTCATGAATCAACTGGCATCACTGCAACGTTCAAATCAACATGCCTTCGATATTCAGGATTCACTGATAATACAAATAAATATCAATCCGTATGAACACCCTATTTGTGGTCATCTGTGTAAACCAAATCCCTAGCTAAATCAATGTTTGTGGCCGTCATAGATCGTGGCTCTTCCAACATCATAACAACAGTCAAACCGGCCCTTAAAACCAAGACGCCTCATACTTAAAATCATGCAATCGTCCACTAATACCGTAAAAACCAATCCTTCCATCCGTTGCTAGTTCCTACATAAATCCCCGCTACCCAATGACCAGATACGAATGCGGCCCGTCCGTTTTATGTTCCAGATGTATTATTGTGAAAGATAAAACAAAAAGAAAGTCCATCAGAGCAGGGTCTTATGCCAGACCGGGAACTCGACCAATGGATCCTATCCTGTCTCTGGGCTTGTCAATTATATCCGCAAATCCATCAAGGCTCAGACCCATAACTTTGACAATATCAAAGATGTGGCTCCCCTTGAATGTTTCTGCCCAAAGTCGAACCACTGCACTCGCCAGGCGGCGTAACTTCGTAACTTCGTTTGCCAAACCTTCCGATTGGCTCATGGCCGATAGCGAAGGGTCAATAGGCACCGCAAACTCCGTTTCGTCGAGCATTCGTTGAACCGTATCGAGCAAATTTCTCTCCTCCGGCGAGATTGGCGGGTCAGAGCGGCTGATGGATGACAGTGTGAGCAGCCATTTGGCCACTAGTATTGCGCATTCGAAGTTGCAGACTATAAATAAGAGTTAAAATCACCAAGTTCTATATGCAAGCGAAAGATAGATTGGAGAGCAGTGACAGTTGTGCAGAGGGTAATTAAGAATTTGCTTACGGGAATGTTGGATGCTCCATTCTGATGACTTGGTATGTGCCACATATTTTACCCCTGCCTTGACCAACACTGACAGAGCATGCACCGCTTGGAAAACGGCGCGGTGAAGCCGTAAACTGCGGACCAGTAAGGGGGTGCCGCTTAAAGCAGACGCAACCAGCAAGGCATCCCTCGAATCCAATCCCAAGTTAGGGGGCAGCTCTGTATAGAGACGAATATAAGCCAACCTAAAAAGGGCCGAGGCGTTGTATGCCAGTGATCCGCCGGGAATAGAGTCTGTGCCGTTGATCTGTCCCGGTTCCGTGACCCTTGCTTGGAGCCTTTGCTCAAAACTCGTTTGCCACACCTGTAAAGCTTGCGCGACGTCCTCGGCGTCTTCTGGTTTAAGAGTTCGATGAACATCATAGGGCGAGCCAGCGGCAAATGACGTCTGCTTCAAAAGATATATATGCTGCAGAAGGGCGTGGATCAGGACGTAGTTCCCTAAAGATGACATCTGGAGGGGGATGGCATGGTTCGATCTGCTGAAAAGTCGAGCGAACGCCTCGTGCACCGTAGACTCGGTCGCCGGGTTCGACTGCCTCAGTTCCTGCCACTGCCAGGCCGACTCAGCTCGCCACAGCAAAGAAGGCTGCGGGCACGAAAGCTTCAGTTCCGATATCAGTAACAGCGGTGGAGTGTTATATGCGGTGCTGCAGAGGTTGAAGAAACAAAAGGCAACGAGCTTTGTCCGCGTTGCTCCCTCGAGACGAACCCATGTTTCCCAGTCATTGGACGTGCCTTGGGCATTCGGGTTTCCCAAACCGTCCTCTCGTACGAGGACGGAGAGAGTGCTTTGCATCGCAAGAGACTCGTGCAATATGGTTTTAGCGCCCCAGAGCCCAACAGCAAACAATAGCAGCACTGCCTGCATGGTTTCAAGTCGAGCTTGTGGTGTATTGGGTGAGCTGGAATATTCGTCAGTCTATCAGATCCACAGTTGTCTTTCATTCTTCACTCTTGGGGTCTTCTTCTGATCCCAGTGACTTGTGATTGAGTGACAAGGACTTACTATGGCTCTCGATGAGTATCTTGTGTTAGTGGTCGCTCAGACTGGGCCGAGGCAAATGAATGCCTATACGTTGAGTTTGGAGACGGTCTGGTGGAATGCGGGCTATATGCTGCGGCAGTTGGTAGAAGAGCATGGACCTCGGAGCTATGCCTCCTCCTTATCTGCTCCATGGCAACTGCTTTCGAGGCATACCAGAGGGCGTACCCTCGGTTGCTTTCGAACCTGTGTTGAGCGCCGACCGCAAGAATTGCTAACAGAAGCTCGGGTGCCATCTCCGCTGGCGAAAGTGTCGGGAGATGCAAGAAGGGAAGGTGCTCGTGGAATCCGCTGATATAACCCTCAAGGAATCGAGTGAGGGTATGGCGAGACGGGAAGACGAAGTCGTTGGGAAGTACCGATGAAAAGCCATCAAGCCTATTCTTGATAGTGTTGTGGTCAACTACTGAGACCTGCAAGGATAATACCCTGGAGTCCTCGTTCCTGGAACTATGATCTGACTGCTCACGACTGTCCTGTCCTCCTGAACTGGCCCCTCCAGGAGCTTGGGAGGGTCTTGAGCCTGATCCCCGCGGTCCATTAGCCGCGCTAGCGCGAGACCAGCTACCAGTTCGTTGGTACAAGTCGTAGGGCGGTGGGAGCAGGTGTGGCGTAGGGGCGAAATCGTCGAGGAAGAGATTGTAGTCGTCACTGGAACCCTGCGGCGGCGATGGCATATATGCCGATGCGATGGCCTGCGAGTCTTCCCGGGGTCTCTCGTCATAGGGACCTGAACTGCTGCTAAAGCTCTTCGGCCTGTCGTGTGCCGGTGGTTGCTGGGACGCGTCGCCGATTCCTGGCTGCATCGGATTCACCTCGCTTGCAAGAGCAGCATCCGAGAGCATGGCCAAGTTGCAAGCATCTGACCTTGACCCGCGCTGTCCATCAGAGAGTGAGCCACTGGAAATCGAAGACACGTGATTCGGATGGTGAAAGTGCTGAGCTGGCTTCTCTGGTCGAAGGTTCTGATGATGCTGAGGATGAGAAAGGGCGGGCTGTTGTGACTGTGGTGATAATGGCTGTTGTCGGACTGGGCGGATCACACCCATGGCTCCTCCTTCGCCATGGCCGTTGATTATGGACGGCTGCTGAGCTAGGTTGGAGGAGAGCTTCCTAGGCCGGGCATTGTCCTTGTTGTTATCATTGAGATGAACAAGCTTCTCATGCCTTACTAGAAGATCCCTGATGTCCATGTAAGTAAGATTTCAACACGACTTGGAAGAAGCTTTGAGTGTGGAGTGTAGTAAGAGAGAAGAGGAAAGCAATGTTTTGTGTCAGGGGAGAGAGTGTGACAATTTTTTCTCGAAAAAAGCAAAATCCAACCCAAGTTTAGGTGAGATGAGTGGTTGGCTGAGTATTTGTTAGGCGGAAAGGGCGGGTATTGGCCGGATCAGCGAGTGAATGGCGCAAATGGAGGTGATGGCGCGGGGGGGTGTGACATTTTGCTGGTGGCCGGGCTAGGAGACAGATCAAGTGCCAAGGGCGAGCCTGAATAGGACGGGAGGTTGCAGCAAGACGCTGGGAAAACAAGATAGGGGAGGCACATGGAGGGTAGGTAGACGGGTAGGTAGACGGGTAGGTAGCAGGTAGTACCGTAGGTAGGCAGTGATGTATTGTGAGGTAGGTATTGGCATGTAAGTGGAGATACAACTTACCGTCTGCCGAATGTTTTACCACAACGGTCCCAGGTACATTGGAAGGGCTTCTCCTTGGTATGGGTTCTCTCGTGTCTCTGCACATGCTCGACCCGCCTATGTTGCTTGTGAGTAGTGATGGCCAGCAGTTGGGATTCATCGGAGCACGAACCTGAAGCGTTTATTGCAGTATTTGCAAGGAAGAGTCTTGGGCTTCTGCTGGCGAGGCTCGCCACCGTCGGGAGCAGAAAGGGGAGCCGACTGTGCTCCCTGAGGTCGAGGAGCCCCCCCATTCAGAGACTGTATAGGCAGCATCGTACAGAGCGCGCCGGGTCAGTCTGGGTCTGGGTCAGCGCACTCGATCTACCGTCGTTGGGCTGGCTCCGGTGACAACTCGCTGATGCCGCCAACTTCAACATACAGCGTGCGCAACGGGGGATCTTCCAGGACCGGCGGAAGTGAAGCGTCTGGGTGAGCGGGAGAGAGAGACGGGGAAGGAGGTGAAGATGGAGTCCATGTGCTCCTGGGCAGGAGCAGCGAACTATGGGGGCTGTGGGGGAACTGTGGAGGGAAGCGACTCTCCACGCGACAAGCGGATGTTACAAGACGGGGACGACCCCATTAACCAGGGGCGAAGGTCAATATAGTTTAGAGCAGACGAGTAGAGTCGGCAGGCAGTTGAAGAAGGTCGAGGCGCAAGAACAGACGAAAGGAAAGGAAAGTGACTGTTCCGCAAATGTGGAGAAGGGCTAGGAGGGTTGGGTTGGGCGGAGAAATTGGACAACTGGGGAAGCTGTATCGTGGAGGGGACAGACAGGCCGAGCGCAGAACGCAGACCAGGAGTCGGTGGAGGGTGGGTGCGAGTGAATGGATGGGGGAGAAGCTGTGCTCGCAGTGGGAATACAGCAGCAGGCGAGAACGGAAGCTTCAGACGCGGCTGGACAGAAGCGCAGGTCGCGTGCGTGCGTTCCAATCAATGGAGAAGAGGCATGATGATGACAGCAGCAAGTCGGGGGAGGGACAACGCAACACAACCTTGGGCGATGTGGTGGCTGCACCCCGTACTCACAGCGGTCGGAGGAAGCAGCTCGAGCAAGGATGGCTGCAGGCCGGGTACCTGCTACATTCTAGCACTACTGGCACGGTACATTGCTTGCCGACTACATGCCACGGCTTACTACGGGTTTAGTTGCCATCCTAATTCTAGCCCGGCCTTTTCGCCGACAGCCCAGGCGCGGAGTAGAGCGGGGAAGGATATACCCGGGCGAGCAGCAGACAGAGCGCAGAGAGCGAGAGAGAGAGAGAGTGGAAGGGCGAGGTGGGAGTGAAAAAAGGGAGGGAGAGAGGGCAAGGGGGTAGCAGCAGGGCAGAGGCTCAGCCTTTCACAGGTCTCGGCATCGTTGACAGGATCTCGGCGGTCGAGCACATGTCACATTGGGGAGCATCTGACCGCTGCCAATTGCACGGAACTGCGTCGGATGGTGCGTTGCACACAAGCAAGCGTCTTCTTCTCCAGCGAGCGAGTAGCAGGTACGGAGGACAGGTGGGGAGGGCGACAGGCGGGAGGGATGGTCGGGGTGTGCTCTTCCCACTGTCCGAGTTGGGGAGAACAAGGAAGCTGCATCCGCAAGATGGGATTTCAAAGCGGATCGAGACGAGATTAGCTCAGTGCTAGCGCTGTTGGAGAGCTCGACGGCCACCCTCCTGCCCTGGAGCGCCCTGGAAGTGACCTGCCGCCCAGGAAAAAGGCCGGAAACTCGACTTGGAGTTTCCGGGGCCCTCCACCGCCCTCTCTCTTGTCCGTGTATTTGTACCTGTACATGCAATTGCTCTCCAGCTTTTCATCGCTCGATTGCCGGACCACTGGACACACGTTTCGGCCAAGATGCATGTGGGGATTGGCCTGCCCTGCCAATGCCCCCATGGGGCAAGTATTCGTGGTCCACACTTACCTCACCAATCTGGGGTTCAACTCCGCATTGCACCGTGGCCGCTATCGCCCTCCTCTTTGCTGCTTTGTTTGTTTGTTTCTTCCCGGCCACCACGGTCAGGTCAAACAGGCACCACCACCACCCTCTACCCCCACCACCAAGCGCTGGCCCCCGACGCGGCCAAGTGCACCTCGTCATTCTCGGTGCTTCATCTGCGAAGCCCAACACGGCCAATTGGGACGCGCAGTGTGAGATGCCCGCATAGCTCCAGGTGGGGGTTCAGTCAAGGGGGGCCTCCGAGTGTGCTCAGTCTCCCTTCCTCCTAGGGACTTGTCCTCGGGGGATAGCCGGCCAATGGATCCAGCACCCTATCGTGCTGTGTCAATTTATCCGCTTTCCAGTGATAGTGACTCAAGCCATCTGCTCCTCAAAAATTGCGCCAAGGCTCGACGCCAACGTCTGACGTGGACCCTGTCTGCCCTCCTCCCACACCGTTTGGCGCAGCAACTTGCCGTCGCATCCACATGCTTTGGCGTCTCCGCGGCCCAGAAAATACCTGGATGTGTATCTTTTCATGCATGACGATAAGTGCTACGTTGATCAGAGGGGCCGCGATACACGGAACGATGGAGTTTCTGTTTTTGTGTGGTTTTTTTGTTGTTCTTCCCTTTTGTTGCCCCCTTCCTCCTCCCATGTCCTCAATGGCCTCCCTGCAATGCTCCCCGCCCTCCTCGGTACAATTTACTCTTCATTCCAGGCCCAGGAGATCTGTCTCTCCTCTGGATCTCAGCAGCTGCCTGTCAGGTACTTCCCGTGCTTCGCGCCTAGGACAAATGTCGGATTTCCTCGGAGTAGCTACCTGCCACACCAGTGATGGCCAGGCAAGTTTATCCGATGGCGCGTGACATCTGATTTGCTCGTCTAGTTGCTCCTGTGCCCGCCCTTCAGTGGACGGACCGGACGGCTGGGCAGCCCTTCGACTCCTTCCCCCCGTAGAGACCCATGCACCAAGATCGTTCAGCTCAGCTTATGTGTCACAGAACAGTGCATTGTCACCCTTGAGAGCGACCGGGTACATCAGATCCTCGTGCATTGAGTGGCCGTACTGGACAGGAGACCAGGGACGGGCAGAACGGCACCAACGGATGCCTCCTTGACCCACGTCGTACACTGGCGGTCGTCCACGCTCACAAGGAGCAATCAACGTAGCGAGTCATCCACGCAAAATAAGAGGGAAATAGTCCTTGGCAAGAAAAAAAAAAGCAAGCAACCCCAACCTGCTCCAACCCCCGCATTAGGGCACACCCAGCTAATTGCATGCTGCGGAATGAGATTGCCCCGCTCTGGTGTTCCCACCGGCCTCGCAAGGATCCTTGGATGCCCAACAAATCCCCTCCCTTCTCCCTTCGAGTCGGCGAAAACGTGCACTCGCCGACTCTGGGCCAATGGCCTAACCACATAATGTGCTGACCTAGCCCGCATTATTCCCACAGCTCCTTGTTGTCGCGTATCTCAACTCCCCCCCTGCCTTGCAGAAAGACCCCTCAGCATCCCAAAGCGGCAAGTCTAGGAGCCCCGTTCTCAAATGATGGAGTTTGGCAGTTCTGCCTCTGACATCGGAATAGGGTTCGGGCTAGGAGGGTGGGCGAGAACGGGCGTGTGTGTGCTTCACGTCGTTTGTGCTTGACTCGCCCATGTCATGTCACTCACTGATGAAGGAGGGTAGATGCTGTTGTGCCTCCTGCAAGACTAGCAAAACGCCACTCGGCGTCTTGAGGAAGCGAATCGTTGAGTCGAATTTCCCTATACAGCCGCCATAACCAGCAGAAACCCGTCCATCCCGCTATTATGTAAAGTCTCACGACTGTCCCGCTCCTGTTGAGAATTCAAGCCTAATGCCGTCCCCCGCAACTCTGGATGCAGCCACTCTCCTCCCAACATGGGACTGTGCTAGCCTGAGGATTGCGTGCCCATCGGATGTCGTTGTGGTTGCCCAGGACCAAGGGCATCACATTGATCGGCTTGCAAGAGACTTCGGGTTCAAGGGGCGAGCATCGAGGCGCACTCCAGGTCAGCAAGATTACAACACAGAGGATCCCCAGTACCACCATCGCTTGCCCCCTGAATCTGTGAAGGATAGAGCATACCATGGAGTGTCACTACCGAAAAGCAAGACACCGGGCAATAGATCTGTAACCCCATTGAGGGGCTCCTAAACCTGGAACCCGCCCGAGGTAAATCCCTACCTCTGCCAAATGTGAGCGGGGAGAGGTCCCCTGCTATTATTGCTTCACTTTTCACTCTTGGAGAAACCTCGTGATTTGTACCATGGAAGGTACACACATAAAGTGCAAAGTCATTCGTTTCTGTACTTACACTGGCAGTTTACCAACCACTATCAGACTAGACCGCCATAAAGCGTGTCTCTCAAGCAGGGCTATCCATGACATCCTACCGTCGTCCTCTCAGCTTGACTACTATCACAGGTTAAATATGCACCTATTACGTACGTATTGGTCCAACGGACAAGGGGGTAGTGCAGGCTTGAAGATCATTCATGCTAAAAGCCAAGCTGTATACATGCCTGCCAGTTCATTCTGCGTGTTGTTTCTCCCCCATGACAAGCTAGGTCGAATGAATGATTTCCCCAAGAGGGCAGGGATAGGTCAACTGAGGGCCGCGGTTCACAAGCCAATTGTGCCTCCAAGGCGAGCCGGGTGTCAAGCTCTGTCCGTATATCGGAGGCCATTGTCTATCTGCCTAACCTACCCGGACTTCTCATCCCTGGAGCGAATAGCCAACTTCACCACTCGCGCTGCCCATTTTTACTAACCTCTCCCTCATGGCCTCAGCCCGCTCTCGGTCGCGGCCCTCTAACCTGCTAAAATTACATCCCGCCACCCAATCGCCAACCCCATGCTGCAGCACATTCCTCGCCCGGAGAGCGCTTCCGCCCACATGCCCAACCGAACCATGCAGAGTCATGCGTTCCTTGGTTGAGTCGTACACGCCGCGGTGCAGGATATTGTTGTTGTAGAAGACAATGTCCCCCGGTCCCAGCTTGACGACGAGCTGGTCCGGCAGCACCTTCTCAAAAGGCCCGGCCGCGCGCTCTGTGTCGGTGCGCGCGCGCCTGTGGGAGCCCGGGACGACGACGAGAGAGTCGTCGTCGAAGAGAGCGAAGTTGTACTGGGCGTGGAAGGCGGGCTTTCCAAGCCGCTCCATCTCCTCCTGCGCCGACGCCTCGGCGGGGATGTCGTCGCGGTGCCACCTGAGCTCGAAGTCGGACTCGGGGCGGACGAGCATGTTGAAGAGCTCCATGACGAGATCGTCGTCGGAGCACTGCAGCAACTCACGGACGATGGACAGGACCTCCTCGGAGAAGTACTGCTCCGCGAAGAGGTCGTGGCCGCCCAGGTCCGGGTTCATGAGGTGCTGGACGCCCCAGATGCCCTTCTCGGCGACATCAGCGGCGCTCCAGGGAGGGAACTGCTTGCCGACGGTGCGGACGTGGGGCCAGCCGCCCGAGCGGGCGAGCGAGGTTGCCTTGGTGCTTGCATCGCGGAGGCGCTCGAGCTTAGCTGGGCTGACGATGGCCCTGACCACTACGAAGCCGTCCCTCTCCAGCTGGGAAAGATGCGGTGTAGACGACATGCGTGCTGTGGTGGGGTTGCCCAAGTGTGCCTGACGTAGGTAGGTGTGCTGAGAGTCTAGACCAGCCAGGCGGGTAAAGGTATCCTCGTCCTTGGGCCCGGAAAGTGAAGCAACTGTGATATGTTTTCTTCCGTATACGCAGCAGCGTATCTGTGTGTGTGTGTGAGAGCGTATGCCCAACAAAGACCCTGGTTGGAGAAGGCGTGATGTCTATATAGCCAGAAAACCTACTCGGCCTGTTCCGAACGATAGAGTTTTGGGGGCACCGGCGGAATGCAGACGTGTATATAGTAAGTTGGAAACGAAGCCGGTCGAGCAATTGGTGAGGGGTCAGTTCAGTCAGCAGAAACTGCCGGATCACCACCACACAACTTTGTGCCTGCAACGAATCAGAAATCGGCCACACGCGCTACTAATATCAAATATGGGCCGTTGAGGAATTCGACATGGGCTCTCTTCTCCCATCACAACGTTCCAAACTCGTATACTCCTCGGCCCTCGCCCCTCTCGCGAGCAGAAAAAAAAGCAATTATGGTTTGTTGCATCCGTACCACCCACCATCCGCCTCTCCGCTTACCAACCCGGGAGATATTACGGCGTCTGTAACCCCCCAGGTTCAATGCATCGTGTTTTACTCGTCAATGCCTGCGTCTGCCCAATAATTGCTGAGATGGCCCTCCCACCGCCTAATTGCTCATTATCCCAATCAGTCGCAGCGAAGGAGAGGGATACATATATGACGTCGGTACTGCAGCTGCAGTCCTCACCTGAATTTGCTTGAATAAGGCCGCCTCCGGCCGGTGGATGGCATATTGGCTTTCAACCCCCCAGTCTTACAATCCCCAATTCTCCAAGGCAACGTTACATATTGTCTCTCTGTTGGCTGCTGCTCCATTCAGTATTACTTCTAGAATCGTGCTGATATTGGAAACTAGCTTGGTGCGGAGCGAATCGGCAAGTATCGTAAAAGATTCACTTTCCAGAAAGGTAGTGATTCTGCGCATGAAGAGAATTCGGCATTCATTCATCATTAGATCATCCAAGTTATTTGCTTTTTTAAAAAACAAAATCGTCAAGTTGTACAGTTTCCCGGTCCACCCTCTATCATTTCCCGGTCCTCGGTTACACAACCCTTCCGGCAGGAACTCGTTTCCTCTCGCTCCTGTGTATCTCGGCATTCCTCTTCGTCGTCCTGTCAATCTTGCGCTGCTGCTTCCTGGCGGCTCTGTCCTCCTCGGCCTTGAGGTCCAGGAGCCGCTGGCCCCGATCCGCAATTGCCTGGTTGTGAGACTCCCTGTTCTCCGTCACCTGCGTCTCCCGCTTCACCTTCCTCTTCTCCTTGGCCTTGACCACCGCCTCGTTCTGGGCGTGCGTGAGCCTGTTGATCTTCCTCTGCTGCCCGTCGAGCGCCCGCTTCCGCCTGGCCTGGTCCATCCTGTCCCGCTTGCTGAGGGGGAACCCGTAGAAGGTCACCGTGGTCGCCTCCCCCGTCGGCAGGGTGACGCGGCGCCTGCTCGAGTGCTCGTCGATGCCCTCGGCGAGCCGGAAGGTGTCCTTGTAGCTCTCGGGCCGCTCCCTGCTGGCGCCCAGGAAGCTGGTCTTGATGGCCGTGCCGACGTACACGCGGAAGTTCCACTTGAGGCCCCTCGCGAGCTCCTGCACCGCTTTCGGGTTCCAATCCTGGTCCCTGAGGGAGAAGCTCCGCGAGCACCGGGCGTAGATGACGTTGGGGAAGTAGTGGTCCCACCAGGGGGACGGGTACTCGCTCCACATGTCGTAGGAGGTGAAGGTGAGTAGGAAGTTGAACCGCACAGTTTTCAGGGAGGGCGCCCTCTTGGGCAGCTTGGCCATGCGCTGGGAGAACCACTTGGTCGCGGAGATGTAGGCCCCCGGCATGTCGAGGCTCTCGAGCCCCCTGCACCTCTCGAGGGTGTCCCAGAAGGCGTGCCGCTGCTTGCCCTTGGACAATGTGTAGTCCACGTGGCCCGTGTATCCGCTCTGGTCTGGGTTCATGATGCTGATGGCCCGGATCATCTCCACGTAGGCAGGGCGGAGGAGGCGCCCCACCGTGGCGATGAGCTCGATGGCGTCGAGGAAGCAGAATGTGTTCCGGGACCAGAAGATGGGCGCCGCGAGCTCGTTTACCCCCCTGGAGGCGAGGAGGAGCCCGAGCCCGGTGCGCTTGGCGCAGGAGCAGGAGCACTCGGTCTTTTGCGTCATGTCGGCGTAGACGGTCACCTTGGTCTGGAGGAACGGCGGGTTCTCGTAGATGTCGTCGCCGAATTTGGGCTTGTATTTGCAGGTTGGCTTGTGCGTCTTCTCCCACCTGGGGCGTTCTACGAGGGCGAATTCGTAGATCCGTAGGACAATCTCGAGAGGGAGATGGTCGAGGTTCAGCTTCTTTGGGCGAGGCCCAGCCGCATGGTTGGGCTGGATGGTGAGCGTTGGGGTTGTTTGAGCCATGGCTGCGTATCTTTGCACGACACAAGAAATTAAGGAAATAGGATGGGGGGTGAAGAAACGCTCTCTTTTCTCTTGAGACTCTTCCAACTCTTCTAACTCTCCTTTCGTGCTCCGGACGCCGGGTCTTAAATCAATTCACGGTGCTGGTCAGAGTGGCTGACGATAGTTAATAAGGCGGGGCGCAAAGAGGCCATCCATTAAGATAAGCCTCGAGCTTGGCCGTTGACTCACAAGGCAGAAGCGTGGCTCAGGCACATGCACCCACCCAACAAGCGGCCGCAGCGGGCCACAGGGAGCTGACTGCAGCGGTTGGCGCAGCTGGTTGGCCCCCGTTACTCCCCCTAATTGATGGCAGGCAGATCGCAGGGCGTTTCGCCGGTCACTATGTATGATTCACAGGCTTTGATTTGATTGCAGAACGGACTAGACGTCATCTTGTTGCATTCTGGATGTCTAGCACGCAGCCGCGGGCCATCTAACGGCGAAGCCCTTGACCGTCTTCTGCACGTCCAGGTCGCCGGGGTCGTCCTTGAACAGCGGCTTCTCCAGATGGACCTCCTCTACCTGCTCCACCTCGAGCCCAGCATCCCGCGCCACGTCGAAGAAGGCCATGTCCAGGTCCTTCTTCCACGGCCGGTACGACGTGAAGAAGACGTAGGCCACACTCTCGGGCGACCTGCGCATCGTCTCCCTGATCGTCTTGACGAGCGCCCCGTGCTCGCTGTGCCGGAAGAGCAGGTCGGCGAGCACGAGCACGTCGAACCTGTCCCGCCCGTCGCTCGACAGCCTCTCCAGCAGCGGCTCGGGCTCCCTGCCCCAGATGAAGCCCATGGCGTCGATCGTCCCCGCCAGCCGGCCCTTGACCTCCATCGTCTCGTCGCACTCGTCAATGTTCCTCTGCATCGTGGCCACGATGTCCGGGTCCGGGAAGTCGGTCATGACGGCCTTCTTGGCCCCCAGGATCGCCGCGACGAGGGACGGCAGGCCCGAGGCCGCGCCTAGCTCCAGCATCGTCTTGCCCTTGATCCTCGAGGGGTCCTTCTCGAAGTAGTCTGATATGATCTTGGCCCCGTTCCACAGTGTGTGTGCCTCCGTGGGGCTGTGGCCGACCAGGTGCAGCGTGATGGATTTGCCGCTCTTCATTGTGAAAATCTCCTTGGTGGGCGGGGGAGTTGGGGGATAATAATCCTCGGGGTCGTCCATGAACCCCGCCTCGCTGAGGTCGATGGGCAAATCCTCCGCGGCCATCTTGAGCTGTGTCTATTTCTATTCCAGTGTTATGAGATACGGGATGAGTGAATGTATGTAAGTTGAACCGTAACTGAGAACAACACCCTGATGCTGAAGTCTGGGCGTGAGAGTGAATGATATCTTCCAGAGGCACGACGAGGTAATTGAGCTTTGAAAAATTATGTCTCAAGAGAAAACGTTTTCAATTGGCGCAGTTCAATATTCCCGTCCCTGTGTGAATGAGAGTGTGTATGTGGTTGAACAGATGTTTTTGAACGAACACCAAAAAGCTTAGCATTTTTTGAAAACCCTGATAACCTATTAGAGGAGCGCCCCACCATGAACCCCATCCTGATACTCAACATGATTGCAGCTTTTGACAATTACCCCTTGGGTAAGATGATGAAAGTAAAAAAAGACAATACAAGCAGTCGCTGCAGGTAGAATGTCGCCCGCTTAACCAAATCGCTGTTTCGCCAGTTCCTTGAGCATGCTCATCGTTCCGTCCTCCCGCTCCCTCCACGCCCGCCTCCTCTCCTCCACCTCCTCCTGCTTCGCTCTCTCGAACTCCTCCCTCCTGATCTCCCGCTCCGACTTCTTCCTCTGCTCTTGTTGCTTCATCTTCTTGTACTCGGCCAGCGAGTCTCCGCCGCCCATCAGGTCCTTCTCATCCCCGCCCTCCATGCCAGGACTCTTATCCCGAAACTCTCGCATCTTCTCGTTCACCATTTGTCGCTTCTCCAGCTTCCGCTCCCGTGAACCTGGGTCCGCACGTGGTAGCAGCTCCTCCAGCCTCTCCTTCTGCAGACTCCTATCAGCCTTCCGGGCTTCTCGGAGCGCATTCCTCGACTCCTCCCTATCCTCCTCCCTCATCTCCTCACGCATGGCGAGATCCTGCATGGACGGTATGACGGGACCTATCCGCGCCCCAGCGCGGTTCCCCCGTGGCAGTGTCGGGCCGTAGTCATCGCCCTCGCTGCCAGAATGATGGCCAGCGTCAACGTCGCCCCTCCTCTCCATCTCATCCGAAGAATGAGGACTCCGGCGGCCTAAATCGCCCTTTGGTGGTCCTTGGTACGGCAGGCCCCCTTCTTCCGCGTACCTCTCCGAGATGCGAGCAAACATGTCCGGGTCGTACCACCCCTCCGCCAGCTCCCCCCGGTTCCACTTGCCCATGAAGCTCTTCCACCTGCCCCTGACCTCCCGCTCGTCCAGCTCGCCCACCTCGATCTGCTTCTGGACGCTCAGGAACTCGGCGAACAGAGGCATGAACGCACTCATGTCCGCCTTGGTAAGCTGCCGCGCCGAGAACGGCAGCGTGACGGGGGCGACCGCAGCGGTGGCGTCCCGCCGAGATCGATCTCTGCGCTCACTCCGGTGCGGCGAGCGGTGCCTCCTCCTCGATGAAGATGATGAATGCCCGCCGTGGTGGCGGTGACGCCGCTGACCATCGCCTGCCTCGTCGGCTCTGGGTGGGCTTCTTCGCCCGTGGCTGGGAGGTGACCGCGACCGCCGTTGGCCTTGCCTGTGACGCGACCCTCGGGGCTCATCCTCACGAGGTTCGCGCGGCATTCTCGCTAGCAGAAACAGCTTTCTCAATTGAAGTTCTGATCAATGGTGTAAGAGAATAGATTTTCAACTGATGTTCACCTGCCGAAGAAAGCAATGCGGATTGTTCAATGTCGCCAAGATATACATGGCAAAACCAAGACCCAAGGGGGCCGGTCCCACTCCAATTCTTTAAAACGGCCTGGGGTAGCACAACGCCTGTTACCAGCACCCACTAAGCCAATTCCATCTCGCCGGTCAAAAGCCACCAGGCAGCATATAAGGCATTCTACAACCAGTCATCATCAGCGAAGTAGCTGCAATCAAACTACCACTTTACGCAGATGACTTGAAATCCTTCCAGGATCTTCGCTTTGTTCTTTTCGTTTTTGGGGTTGCTCCTCCATTCGATTCCGTACAGTCGCGTCGTTCTATGACCTTTACCCCTTTTTTTGGCTTGCTTCTACACCACCCTATATCAGAAGGCAGAGTGCTCGTTGTGATAAAACAAAGCCAAATAAAACGCAATGTCATATTATTGTTGCTGTTTCTTTCTACCTTGGGTAGCTAGATCCGCCACATCATCTTCAGATTTCATCAAGCCTGAGATCTTGCTGCCCCATCTCAACAAACCCGGCCTTACCTTATACATCAGTCTTCCACCCTCCAGAATTCAAGAGCCAAACACTGGCAATTGGAGCACTGCTGTACTTTTAAAGGGGAGTTGTTCGTATGATTTAGTTCTCATCTACTAACACCACACAAGGTCTCTCATCTCTAGAAGACAAGAACCCAGTGTAGGTTATCCTAATATGTAGTCATGAAACTTGAACCACCCGGGGTATCAATGTAGGCATCATGCCGTAACTAAGCCGCGACCCAATCTCTATAATATATCCAAAACCCCATATACATATATGCCTTTAAAATATGTATGACCCTCAATAGGTAATGTAATGCGCCATGGACCAATCCAGTTGTTTCTCGCTCTCTTCGTAAATCCGAACCGCGTCTAAACGTATCCCTCAAATGACAGACAATTCATTCATGCTTCCTGATCAATGGACTGCGATGGGTCTGGAATATTGTGAATCACACACCCAATGCACTGGCAGTCATCTCCACAGGGACAGCTCGCACTCTCCCCGTCACAAGGTTCACCAAAAGGATAAGTAACAAAGAAGAAGTCACTCGCCGATAACGTCTGCTCTTCACTGAGGCCAGATGGAGCATCAGAAGGGGTCTGCGGTGCTGTGATGTTCCCGTCTGGTGGCAGTTGGGCCGTAGGGATTGCAGAGCCCCCTGGCGGCGTGTGGGTAGTAGATGAACCTTGCTCGCTAGTATGTCCATTCATCAGATCGCCATTTCCGACCGGTTCGTCTTGCTGATCTAACATTGCAGAGCGAACATAGTCTTTAGTGGCATCATTATATGGATGCGTAGCACAGCCCACACATTGACACTCTTGTCCGCACGAACAGTGATGTGACGTCCCCCCCGCTTTGGCCTCAAAGACTTGGCCATGCGTAGGAGGGGCTGTTGGAGTTGCTACCGGCCCATTACTCATGCCAGCATTCATCATCTCAAAGGCATGCTGTTGTTGTGCGGCGATTTGACCATAGTTAAATGCGGCCATCATCTGTTTCCATTGATCTGGCTGCAACGGTTGCATAAAGGTTCCGTACTGTGGGGGGTATGTGAAGATTCCTGGGTGTGCGAAGTAGGGATACATGTTGGGAGGTGTGGCCATCGGAGTCGGGAACTGAGGCATCATCATCGGTCCAGCGTGTGCCTGCATATCAGACGTCGTTGTTGTTGGTGCCTCTGGTTCGAAGTTCTCCGCCTTTGAAGAGCAACAGCTCTTCGCTTTAACCCCCGAGTTGCTTTGTCCATTGGGTGCATTGCTGACAGAGTTTTGTCGGGAATCCAGCAAGTCTTCATCGCTCTCTTCTCGTTTCGCATCCACCCCACCTCCACAGCAGCCTCCAGATGCTGCAGCACCATTTGTAGGAGCCTGTGGTATACCTCCATTGGGCGCGGGTGGGAAGAACATCTGATTTGGGATAGGTTGCTGGAACATGGGAATCATATACTGCTGTGGGTTGATCTGATGGTCTATTGACGGCATGCCTGCAGGACCATACTGGCTCGGCGCAGACATTGGAGAAGCCGTCTCTGTTGGTGAAATGGCTCCGGCTCCGGCTCCGTTCAGGCCATTCGGGGCGGGCATAATGTTTAGTTGGCTTTGGTCTGTCCTTTCCACGCTGGTCGGGTCAATAGACTGCTTCCGTGTCGATCCTCTTCTGGTTTTCTGCACCCGAAAGCTCGTACTCGGGGCCTTGCTTCCAGTTGGCGATGGAGACTTGGTGTCGGAGTCTTCAGGAGTAGAGTCTCCATTCGTTGCACCTGGGGTCTGCGTTGCAGGAGTCGAAGGGCCGCAGTTACATTTCTGCTTCCTGGGGATGGCAGCAGTCACTTGCCCACATGAGCAGGGCTTTGAAGGGGGGTGAGGACAAGAGCTGAGAGGCCGGCCGGGTTTTCGGACGGGGACCATCAGGCGCTCATTGGCGTGTGTACATTTGGTTGAGCGATGGCCGCGAATGCAAGGCTCGCTGTGGAAATTGAAAAGAATGAGAATCAATTTGAAGAAAGGGAATGACACAGGCTTTAGACAAGGCTAAGTCTTTGCCCGAAACGGGATGCGAGAAATGAAATCGGGGAGTAGGAGGAAGAGTTTTGTTCACATACCAGGCCATCTTTTGCCCATTGATGAGAGGCATGGTGAGACGGGAGCTGAGCTGCTCCAGAAACGAGGAGCAGAGTGAGAGCCAAGGGCCTAGCCGTAGTGATCCAAAGGGCAGTCAGGGTCGAAGATAGAGAAGCTGTTTCGGTCCAGGCGAAGCATCAGGGCACAAGAAAGAAGAATGCGGTTGACAGTCAAGGGTTTCCTCGGGGCAAGTCGCTGGCAGCCGGCTGCGATGGCGAGCGTTGTCGCAAAAAAGTAGGTGTTCTGGGTATGATCAGAAGAGGACGGCAATTGTGCGGCGCATTTCGGCAAACTGGATGACCGGGCCAGGGAAGGCAGGATAAGCCGATGGCAGATTCCCGACCTTTGCCTCGAGAATAAATCAGCCGTCGAGGTGGTTGAAGCAGAACTGAGGCAGGCGGAACGTGAATTGGAAGCGGGAGCCAGCCAAGGTGGGAAGATTACAGGGCGATAAATCCCCCATTGCTCACATTTCACATTGCGCCGCCGAAGGCACCCTGCCGCTGAACCGCAGGACACGGCCCTGGGCGCCCCATCAATAAGTACCATCCATGGAGAACGCACCTACCTGATCTTTCTAAAAGCGCCGCTAGACGCAGTGCAGGACATCGCCCCACTTGCGGGGGCTCTTTCCTCATGGACCGGACCTCGAACCAGCGGCCAAGTCTTGCGCCGGGCTGCCTGCAAAAGCTTGTCGTGATATGTCATATTCGCACGGGGCGCCAGGACGAAAAGACGCAGCTATTCTATTCTATTTTTGTGTTGTTTCTGTCCATCCTCTTCTCTCCTCTTCTCCCCAGCGCTGTGATCCCCAGGCCAGAACCACAAAAGCCGGGTCCGGCTTTGTTGGTCGACTAGCCGCTCCATGTACCTCTGATACTAACCCGTCTCAGAGGAGGAACCTGCACCACCACCTACCTCTTTGCATCTTCTCTCTCTCTTGGCCCTGCATCTGCAATGGCGGCTGGTCAAGCAATGGGGGCAACAATAATAATAATGGATTCGCTTCAACTGAGGACCAGCTCAGGGTCCTCACTATCCCGGTCAGCCCGTCCTGAGGTACCTCGTGGTGGTGGGATCGATTCCCACTCTGGACATGGTTGGTGAGCAAGTTTCTATTGGTCGCCATCGAGGTTCGGCTGCCAGGCGGACGCTCGAGTCTCAACGTTCCCCCTCCGCCATGCCCGCTAACAAACAACATAGCGCACGCCGATGAAGCAGAGCATCCCAATGAGGAGCATGGTCTATGCCCACTTTCTGCAAACCGAACCATGCGAACCCTGTGGGCTTTCTGCCTGGAGCCTGAGAGTTGGCCCTGTGATCTCCGGGTCTCTGCCGCTCGCTGACCACTGCCCTCATAATCAATATCACATTTCCAAAGGACGGTACTTGATTGAGCCGAGAGCAAACAGCGGTGGGCCGAGTCACTTGGTGCTTATTGCCATCCCACCGTGGACGACGTGAGCGATCCGTGGAGGGAATGGCTTCGCTTATCGATCACACAATATTAGCATGGAAACTAGCCTGTTAGTCCATAGATTAAAGCTGCGCCGTGCTCTTAACCGTTGTATCTTCTAAAAGTAAACGCCTGCTATCCTAGCCGGGAACCTCAGTCGGAAAATGGAGGGTCTCAGTTCCGTTTGTGCCCTCGTTCGACATATCATAAATCCTGCTCCACTCTTCATAAGATATTATTCCTGAGCCTCAGAAAGTGAACCAGCTGCGTCATCCTCGGGAGGTGTTCTCAAGAAAGGCTCTCAAGAACCACCGTCCGAGTCGGAGTCAGCAAACATGTCGACCGCACGCATTCTTGGCTTACGGCCAACGCCTTTGGGGCGGGAGAGATCTGCGTGACTGGCGCCGCTGGGTTCACCCTTGGACTCTGTTAGAACCTTGTCCGCGGGCCCCTTGTCTCCCGCCGTGGCAGAATGTGACGAAGCATGACTTGTTCGAACTGTGTCCTCCTTCATTGGCTTCAGATCCTCTTGGCCAAGCGCCTCGCCCTCTATATCGTCCTCTTCGATCGGCACCCCCTCAATATCATCGTCGTCTATTGGCTGGCCCTCGAGTTCATCCTCATCGATAGGCTCACCCTCGATGTCCTCATCCTCAATCGGCTCACCACCTACGTCATCCTCCTCCATAGGCTCGCCAGGCTTACCGTGAGAAACCAGATCTGTCCCCTGCGCTGCCACCGAGGGACTCTTCGAGCCTGTCTCCTGTGTTTGATTCTGCTCCACCACTTTCCACTTATTCTTCTTCTGCCCTTCATCCGGCTTTTCATCGGCCTTGGCTGAGGGAGGGTTTTCAAAGCTTTGTACAAAGAGATCTTGACTTTCTGCAGCAAAGACGCACCAACCCTCCCACAAGCTTAGGACCAAATGGACGCTCCGTTTCCATTTCTCTGCTCGTAGACGGCCCCAGTTGAACTTTTCAGCCATCAGACCCAAGCGCTCAAAGACTTTGCGATTCCGTAGCGCTACCTCAAAGAGTTGTCGGAATCGCCATGCGTGGCGTACACCGCTCGAAGACGACGAGGAGAGGATGTCGCCGACAGCATAGAGCCCAACTAAACTTGCGGCGGAGGCATCTTGCGCGTCAGCTGCATTGTTCTCATCTGCAGCAGGCCCTTGCGCACTGCCCTCCTTTTTGTCCTGATTTCTATCCCTGTTGGCCATTGTCAAAGAGAAAGGCTTCTCGATGTTTGATACCATCATGTCGACCACCTCATCGACGCCACGGCTAGCGTGGGCAATTGCAAAATTCGTAACTCTGGCTATATCCCCCTTTCGTAATTTCGACATTGTCGGGGGAAGCCTGGCTAATAGATGGGTGAGCTTGGCCTTCTCCAGGGGGTTGAGAAAGGTCTTCTCCTTCTCATCTCCCTGATTATCGCGGTTTCCTTCACCGTCGAAATCTTCGTCGTCTGATGAATTGTATTCCGAATCCGAAACAAACTCGTCGATTTTCGTAGTGTATTCAAAAGGGAGGCGCTGCTCTGGGACCTTCCAGGCACTGCCACCATCGAATAGAGGCACATACTTTGGTCTCTTTGTCTGATGTCCTGAGCCAGTAACAATCTCCCACAGTCGCCATCTATACCACACACCCCCTGGACATCTGGCATTCCATATCCACGCCCATTTCTCTTCGCGTTGCACCTCTGGCCGTGACATAAGGAGCGCCTCAATTTCGGGGCCATGGTCGAGAACTTGCTCAATAGTCTTGTTGATTAATCGAAGAATCCTGATATCATCCGGGGGTTTGACCGGGACGTGGAGGAGTTTGCCTCTGCTGACATTGCCAATCTCACGATCGTAGCTAGTTGGCGGCGCAAAGCCTCGATGGAAGCCGGAGTCTCTTTGTGTGCTGTGTGAATCGGAAGGTTGTTCAACCGGCTTTGCCCCGAATGGATGTGATTCAGACCCTGAGCCAGGAAGGTTCGTAAGAGCCGAGGCGCTGGTAACGGCAGATGAAAGGTGTCGATGCAACGACAAGTATTGCCCCCAGCCCAGATATTCGTTCTGTAGAGAGCTGACCGCTGCGTCGATATCGTTGGCTGGCGTCTCCTTTGAGAGTGTCACGATAGCAGTCTTGACTCTCGTGTCATAGTTGCCAGCCCCTGTAAGATTCTGGAAATTCACCTCCTCTACAACCAGGTTGGAAGGAAGTTTGGACCTGATAGCAGCCTGTGAGTATAAGGAGGGCAGGTTGAGTAAGCGCAACGTAGGCCTAGCAATGGCTTTCTCTTCCGCCTTGTCGGTCGCACCGCCCATCTCCTCATCCTCATCGTCGCTCGTGCGGAACGCCTTCGGCACTGACAAGGACGATCGATCAAAGTCATCATGCCTATTCCTTGGCCCTCGCGCCATGTCCTGATAAGATCGCTTCTTCGTAAACGCATTCGGTGCTGGCCCGAGGCTCCCCGGGCCACTCCTCACATTGGGCGCGCCAAAATGTCGCCTCGAGGTTCCTGGCGCAGGCCCGCCAAGTCCGGACCTGGGACCTTGGAAGCCCTGTGAGCCAAACGGCGTTGATCTCCTCCCATTGTCCTCGTTTCCATCGCCGCTTTCCTCTCGATCAAAGCTCTTGATGAAATCCTGGTATACGGCCGCGGTCTCAGCTTCCTCGCGTAGGCGCTTGGCCTCGGCTTCTGCTTTTTGCTTCTCAAAGGCCGACTGCTTCGTTGGCTTCTGGAGCTTCGCCTTGACGTTTGGGAACTCGTGTGGGGCCTGATCGGGCGGCATTTTGTCGTTTTGTTCGGTCAGCTTCGTGTCATTTTGCGAGGACGTCTTTGTGTCTCAATGAGGCGTGACGGAAGCTACAGGCAGCTTCGCTTCTTTGGAGATTGGTGACACTGCATATGAGCCCCACTTTCTGAATGTTTTGCCTAAGTGCATACCTAAACAGCTTGACAGCTACCAAAGTGGGTGACAGGAGAAATGAGATCATGGAAGGGTGGTTATTAATCGACTACTTTCTATAATATATAGTAGAATTTAGTAGTATAAAAATGAAACAAAGTAACAATATATAGGGTATTATCTCTGAATTCTGTATTAACAGGACTTAATAATTTGCTGATACCGGTCGCAGACTTGAAAATAAGCAGCTTAATATTTGAGTGTCTCAATTTCAATGTCACCCACATGCTACCCTATTACCTGCCGCAGTCCGCAAGGGGACATCAAAAGTGGTCAGTTTATTCGGATATTAGAAAGGAACTCGTATGTATTTTTCTAAGGGAACATATGTACTTGACTCCACCTTTTTCTCTTCTCTTCATAACAATTTCGTGACAAAGGGCGCGCCTAATTTATAGCTGCGATCGAGCCTTGCCATCACGAAGCTTCTTTATCTCATCATCCAAGATCATGTCGGGCAACCCTCCTCTACTACCGTCCCAGGTGTTCAACCCCCGATAGACTCCGTTTGTTTCTTTCCCGAGACCGTCGTCCTCAATGTGCTTCCACTTCCACTTCTCCCCAAGCTTGCCGCCGCTACCCTGAAGGCAGTCCACCAACTTGTCGCCAATGACTGGCAGGAACTTGAACCCGTGTCCGCTGTCTCCGGTGGCGATGAACAGTCCCTCCCATCCAGGATGCCAGTCCACGAGCCAGTCTGCGTCTCTGGTGTCCGAGTACCAGCAGAGTCGTGTCTTCACCCACGGTCGCTGGTCTACGTCTTTTAAGGGAACCAGGTCCCGAAGGCCTTCCCGGAGGTCTCGATCGCCCTCGACAGGCAGACCATCGAACCCGTTGTCACGAATCGTCCTGGGGACCGATACAACAATGGGCTCTCGCTTGTGCTTGTGTGACAGTGGCAGTGCAGCCGGCACGGTCTGTGGGTTGAGGTAGCCAAACCCGTGCCGCGCCACCTTGAGCAGCCTCTCCCTGGGAGGGAGGACAAAGAGCCCCGTGGAAAGGTTGAGGATCGTGGGCTGGTGCTCCATACGCTTCTGCTCCGCCTCGGTAATCTCGACGTACGCGACAGCCTGGCCCGTCGCCTCGCACCGCCCTCTCAGGTCAATCAGCGCGCCGGTCCAGGCACCCGCCGCGACAAATACCACGTCTCCCTTGAGAACCCCGCCATCCCTCAGCTTGGCGCCCACCACCCTTGTACCCTCGGTCACCAACTCCTTCACCAACGCGTCTACAAACTTGACCCTCCCCGTCTCCCTGACACGCTCGTAGAGCCACTTCATCGACGTTCCGTTATTCGACCAGCCGGACAATGTGTTCGAGTACCCCCAGTCGCCCACGTTTCCCGAGGCGCCGAGATACTCCTGGATGGCCTTGCGGCTCTCCAGCTTGACGATCTTCTCCGTGGGGAGACCGGTGTCGAGGGCAATCTGGGTGACGTTCTCCCAGCTCGCCTTCACATAGTCGAGGCCCGTCTTGTGCCCGGACTTGGACGTGTACGATTGGTTGGCGGTCAGCACGAGACCATTCTCAGCATACCGGCCCTGCCCTCCGACCTCGTGGTCCTTCTGCTTCCGCCACTCGGTCTGTGCCTCCGCCGCCAGGGTAGCATACTCTCTGTCCGCGTAGTCGGCCCTCACAATGCGCGAAGCATCTACGCTCGCGCAGTCCTCCGGGGGGAACTGGCCCCGGGCGTCGTCAACAACTGTGATGGCGGTGTCGCGGAAGAATGGCCGCTTGGCCAGGGCCCAGGCGGTGCTGAGCCCGAAAAGGCCAGAACCAACGATGAGGATCGAGCCGGGGGCGGTCTCCATTCTGTCGCCTTCGGGGTCTTTTTTGGGGAGAGGGGAATTGGGTTTGTCGACACAACTGTTCACGGAAAGGCAGGCCACAGGAAGGAAAAATCCCACGTTCACCAGGTGCGCATAACCAACCGGCTACCCTCCATTCGGCATCGTTCGATCTAGAGCGTTCTCGGAGCCCAGACGGGGCCATATAAAGCACACATTTATCAAAAAATCTGGGCCTCGTTTGCGGTTATTCCTAGATAAAGCAAAAGACTAGCACGCACCCGCACACTCCACACCGATAATCGGACGACACGCTTGGGAAAACTGGGGGTGGTGAGCCTTTACCAGATTCTCGGCACCAACTCACACGACACCGCCAGATTTTACCAACTACAATCACAGCATGCCGACAGCACACGACCGACAAAGCACAGATCACGGGCGATTTAGAGCCATGAAAGATGAGATGAGATAATTATATTACGCTGTGAAGGAGGGAACTGCGCGATGAGGTGTTGAACTGGCCTGTACAACAGTGCCTTGATATAACCTGCGCGGCAAACCTCCCAGGCATGCTCTCATCAAATTTTGCAAGACCTGGAAAGGGTCTTCACACCGTTTTGTTGTCTCTTTCCCCCGAACCAGGGCGCACCCACCAACTGTCAAGCCGTCCCAGCCCATCCCATCACTCAGTCTCTTTTTAACTCCTTAAAAAGCATTAGGCTATGCAGACCGTGCAAGGTATTCCTACCGAGCCCAGATCCGCCAAAAGCAATCTATGTCATGTTTGTTGCGAGAATGTCAACTCTCTTTATCTTGTGGCCAGAACCAAGTGCGTCTGAAAGCAACTCCCCAATCCGTGCCCTCGCAAACGCCGGTGCAATGCAATAAAAATAATCAAATGATACAAACGTGCCCCCAGATCAGCTGCTTGTGCAAGCAGTGATCATTAGGAACACGCCGTAGGACGAAAGTCAGTCGTAATATCGTGATGCAGCCTACTCATACAGATCGCAGTGAATGAGGCTGGACATTAGAGCTGCCAAAAAAGATGACAGCAAATCTGACCAGAACTCAACTTCTAGACCTTGCGGAAATCTGTGATTGGTTAGAACAATTGCGTTTGAACGAGAATAACGTTAAAAGGGTTGGCAAACCTTGAAGCACGGGGTAAATCATTTCAAAAGCCTGATAGATCTCTTCTCGGACTTTTGCACCCGTGAGTACGATCTTGCCGCTTACGAAGATCAGAAGCACAATCTTCGGCTTGATCATACGATAGATAAGACCAGGGAACAGTTCCGGTTCATAGGAACTGAAGTTGTGATGGCGAGAAGCCAAACCTTCCAAGCGGATGGGGAACTTGATATCACAAGATCCAACAATATTTTGAATCTTGAAATCAGTGAACTTGGCGTTAAAGCCCAGCTTCTGGATGATGCGAGCATATTTGCGTGACGCTAGCTTGGAGTCATCTTCGGACTTGGCACCAGTGACAACCATCTTGCCTGAGGCGAAGATCAAAGCGGTCGTCTTGGGTTCACGGATACGCATGATGACAGCAGCGAAACGCTATAGCAGGTCAGTGACAAGTTTGTAAGACAGATCAATCGCAGGTAGTACCTTGGGGTTGTACTCTGCATTCCTGGCATGCAGAGCGATCGTCTTCAGGTCTAGCCGACAGTCTAGATTGACGGTGGCCACAATGTTCCTTTAAATCAATGCGACATAAGCCTCTCAGAGCAAAACACTATCACTCAGGAGGATACATACTGCAGCGTGGGAGTGATTCCACTGGGGCCTTGGTTGGCTCCCGGTGTAGCAGCAGGAGTGGCGGGAGTCACCCCATTTCCATTCTGCTGACCGTTGGGGATGGGCTTCTGGGCACCATCCACCGGAGGAGTGAGCTCGTTTGTGGCTCCGGGGAACGACAGAGACCCAGGCGCAGTGAAGGCCTTGGCCTGAGCCGCGTTGGATGGGTGTGTCTGAATACTTTCCATGATGAATGTTTATGAAGCTATTCAGATGGTATCGAGTATGTCAGAGAGCAGTTCTAAATAGCCGAGTTAGCAAGAGAACAAAAGTCCCGAAGAGATTTGTAATATGTGCGGCGGTGATAGCAAGGATGAAATTGCGAATGAAGACGCGATGCATTCAACATCAAGACCATTTCGCTTCAGAGATCTTGGTGTGAAAGGAGCAAAGTGTCGTGGCAGCTGCCAACGGTCGGGTATTATTTATAGGGCCAGGTATGTGTTCAAAAACAGGACCATCAAAACAAACAACACAAAACCACCATAGTAAAGAGAACATTTCAAACCTACCGAAATGTGGGAGATGAACAAGTGAATGTGTCCCCTACAAAGCACTGCTCTTTCACGTGGATGAAAGATGGACGTCGAATCACAGAGTGTGTGAGATGACGATATGGAAGACTGCGAGAGTGATCGATCGATTCCCAAAGGTCGCAAAGTAGACTCGCGCGCGCTCCGAGGATCAAATAATCAAATCTCGCCGACTCGATCCTTTACTTCAACTTCTTTTAGAGCTGTCTACGAACAGCGCAACGATCCGATGGTCGACGGTAACGCGAGCCTCGAGTATCTGCTCTTGCCGGTCGGGGACAAAGGAGTCGTGTGCGGATAGGACAATGACTGAAGCAACGTGTTTCAGTTCTCAGTTCGCCTGATCGCTATCTTTTTTTATTATCTTTCGCGCCCAACAGCGACTGCTGCAAAGCTTTTCCTTTTTCTTGAACTCGTCAGAGTGGGTATGTAGAGAAAGACGTCTCCGTGAGAGATGAAGGAGAGGTGGGTTGAGGAGAAGAAATGTAGAAAGAAGTGGGGCGGGTGTGTTATGGGGTGTGGTAAGGAAAAAAGTGTGGCCGAACGTTCTGTGTGAGGAGGTACAGTACGTAAGGCTAGTCGCGGCATCCAGCAGAAACCTCCAGGCAGGACTAAGCTGACCGAGGGGGGAGGGCTGGGATACTTATACTCGCAGCCAGCACAGGGGCAACATGGCCCCCTAGGCAACCAC